AAAAAAAAACAAAAAAAACAAAAAAAGATCTCTGTTCACGAGAGAACACATGGGGGGCTGTAAAAAAAAAAACAAAAAAAACAAAAAACGATCTTTCACGAGAGAACACATGGGGGGCTGCATCCGCCATCTTGAAAAAGGAAAAGAAAACAAAAGACCGCCAAAACAAAATGAACCTGCTCCCACYAGATGTGCAATGTGCAAAATGAGAATGAATCTTYCCGCAGAACATGGAAAGATGCACCGTCACAAGTTCTGTCTTTTTGTGGATGTGGTGAGCGATGCCGCGAGGTCGTTTAGTGGCAGCGAAACCGCGTCGCGGAAAAACCGCGTTTGTCGGCTGACAGGAGATTGACGATGAGGACTGAGGAGGAGGGGAATGAGGAGGGGAATGAGGAGGAGAGAGGGGTTGAGCACGACACGGGGGTTGAGTATAGAGCACTGCGCGAGCCCAATGGAGAATGGAGGAGGAGGAGTAAGGAGCAAAGAGAAAGCAGCGATGGCGAACGTGTAGAGAACAAGGAGGAGGAGGGGAAAGGAAACGGGGCAGGAGGAAGCAGGGAGGGAGGGGAGGAGGAGAGGGAGGGACGGTGGGTGAGGGAGGGAGGGCGTGGAGAAACGAAGTGAAGAACGGGATCAACGGGAGGGAGGGAGGGAAGGAGGAGAGGAGCAGGGCGTAGTTTGGGAGAGAGTGAGGAAGGGGGGGAGGAGGAGGAGGAGGAGGAGGCGAGAGCAGACGAAGAGGAAGAAGAAGAAGGCGAATGGTSGTTGGGATCGGGTGGTGATGGTGCTGGGTGCTAAATATAGAAGTGGATAGACATTGGTGTGTTCGAAATATTATTATCTAGATACGTTCTCTCTCTCTATATATATATTGTCACATTGTGAATCAGAGCGCAAAAAAGGGAAAAGAAAAAAGGAAAAGGAAAAAAGGGAAAGGGAAGGAGGTAAGGAAAGCTCCACCTGTTCATAACCTCTTACGTACAAGGCCAGCCACGTGGATATATAACGATATATACATTGTGACGATATGTGACAATATATACAGGGTTCAGCCTCCTGATGAGTCGGTGAAACTCCGACGACGAAAGAGTTTGTCACAGCCCCTCGTTTGTTGTCCTCTTCTCCCTCTCTGTCTCCGGTT